AAGACGACGTCCCTTAACAAGTCAACTGAAACAAAAAACGAACGTCTCTCCCCGTTCCTCTTACAATCTTGGCCTAGCGATTAAAAGAACGAAAAAGGTTGTGGGCATCAGGACAAAAAAACCCCAAAAAGCCGTAGGGTCCTGCCCGGTGCGCTGTGATGATGGAGCAATGGGGGGGGAAGGGAATCGCTCATTGCCATGGCGACTCACGAGCTCAACAACCAGCCAGGTTGCTTCACAGCCACGAGGTCTCATCTGCGGGTTCAAATGCCTTCTCGCCTACAAGATATTGCACAAGGGGACCCCGTACAAGGGGTTATACCCCCCCCACACACACACCCCAGCCCGCTATCCTCCGTAAAGGGGTCGTATCAGTAGCCTCCCCTTGACAGAAGCCTGTCGCTGATTCAGCTGCCCTTGTTTTGTGAGAAGCAATTTAAGGGCTCCTCCTGTCGGGGGCTTCCCCTGATCTCTCGTTCACGGGGTATCTCGTACAGAGGGTCTCGTCAAAGGGGTCTCGTCAGAGCGATTCCGTTCCATAAGCTCCAGCTCCAGCGCGCGCGCCCCCCCCCCACACACACCCCTCCGTGGGATCCAGCCGGGCCGCACGACTCGCCTCGTCCAACCGCGGGGAGCCTAGGAAAGACCGTAGGCTTCACAGGCCTCCCCAAACAACTCCCACCACCACCACCACCCTCCAACACTGCCCGAGTTCGCGCCGCGCGACGCCCGCGAGCGAGTGACAGGGGGGGCCCAGGTGACGGGCGAGCGACACGCACCACTTTCAGGTCGAGCACGCCGTCCTTGGCCTCCTGCAGCAGCGACACGAACTTGGCGGTGAGGAGCCCCAGGCTCTTCTCGTGTCGGCTCGGAGTGCCCGAAACCCCCGGCACGCCGTCCGCCATGCCGCCCCGCATTCACGCCGCGCACTCACTGCGCATGCGCGGCGCTCCACGATCATTTGATTTGCCAGCACGGATAGGCACGCGAGGTTGGTTGGTGGTGGTGGGGGGTGGTGGATGTCTGTGTGTGTGTGAGGCAGTCGTGGCCTCAAGGTGCACCTAGCCTGGCACAAGCGTCGTAGTGACGTCAACGCCACTTAGTGACGAATGGCGGTTGTTGTTGTTGGAGGCAGTCGCTCTCCAAGGAGGCAGTCGCCCTCCAACAACAACGGAGGGCGGAGGAGCGACGCTCACAACAACGAGCGGAGCGCCGGGTGGCTAAAGCACAGCAGGTTGGCACAGTAGGGGGCACAGGTGGTGCATCAGCCAGTCATCTCAGTCAGTCGACCCGTGGCACCTGGGTCTGCCCCGTGACCTCCTGCCAGCGGGCGTTCGACACTCCACGTGGTAACCTCAAGGTGCACCTAGCCTGGCACAAGCGTCGTGGTGACGTCACCGCCACGGCTGTTGTTGGAGCGGTGGTGTTGCGGTTAGCGCTACGGCCAACCGGGTTCGATTCCCGCTCGCGGCAGACACCCGGTGGACGTTTGTCTGAACCGGTTCTGGGGCCCTTCCCCCTAGGTCGACTCGGCCTCAAATGCGTAGACGTCGCCACTGGGGAGACAAAGGCGGCCCCGGGAGTGACTCATGCAGCCGGCTATGGCCGGCAGGGTTTTAGCGGTACATGTTGTTTACGTCGTTTATTGTGACATTTATGTCACAGTTCCTACGGTGATACGTTACATTGCTTTTATGACTTTTGTTTTGGTGATTTCGAAAAGTGTTTTTTTTTGTTTGGCCAGGTTTTGTTTGTTTTGTTGTAGTACGGAGTTAGACTGATGGCTTTAATCTAAGTTGTCTTGTGGTTGTTGTTGTTTGACTTGTATCCCACTGGGATTTTTCGCACACAGCGTTGGTGTACACGGTGCTTTTTTTCTGGAATATTTTTGCTGTTGTTTTCCTGGATTTTTCTGTTTGCACAGTCACACATAGTCACTTTAAGATGTTTTTTCTTGTTCGTGTTTTTTTTGTTTGTTGCGGTTGCACCCGATTCAAGAGCCGAATGGCTCACAGGGCTATAACACTATAAATGAAACTGAAAATTTGGTAGGTGCCGCTCGCTCACGGCACTTGCCCCCAAATCTGCTGCAGGCTACACGGGAGATCTTTGTCTTGGTGGGTGAGTCAGGTGATGACGCGCTATTACATTTGCTACAAGCGTTCGGCAAGCCCGTCGCCGCCCCCACTCCCTCCCCCACACACACGGGGACAACAACGAGCACGCGGTGTGCACTGACGGCCATCTTGCCCAGGGGGAAACTTCGCGTTACCATAGCAACCATTAACCATAGAGGCCTCTCCCTGAGCAAGATGGCGGACATCCTCGTGTACCGCAGTGTGCTTAAAAAAAAACAATGTTAACGCTTCTAAGAATTTGCAGACAATATCCACAAGAAATGTGCCTCTAGGCTCTGGAGACCACCTGGAGAATATTCCAGGCGTGTGTTGACAACGATGTTGAACAAGTGGAGACTTTTGACTTTTTGAAGCTATTAACATACATTTTGATTTAAAGCTTTCGTGCCTGCAGGGATTCATATTCTTGGTTCTTTCGGTAAAGTCACGTAGAAGGGAAACAATAAAATAATAAAAATATAAAACTGTAAAATGTATATTTTTATAAAAATATAAAACAATAAAATTAATATTTTTTATTGTTTAGAAGGGAAACAAAATAAAAAAAATATAAAATAAATTGTTTATTTTTATTATTTTGTTTCCCTTCTACGTGACTTTACCGAAATAATCAAGAATATACATTTCGATTTTAAAGCTTTCGTGACTGCAGGGATTCATATTCTTGGTTCCTTCGGTGCATTTTCTTGCTGTGGTTTTCACACCTGCTGATGATGATTGCTTGTGTTGCAATCGAAACGTCGTGAGAATTTTATTGTTTTATTATTTTATTATTACCCTTCTACGTGACTTTACCGAAAGAACCAAGAATAACACACATTTGTTTTTTTCATGTTAGTGTAGTATCCGTTCTTTTGCCATTAAAAACGATAGTCCCATATAAGTGTTAACATTTTTTTTAAAGCACCCTGTTCAGTAAACTCGGACGCGTAGCCGGTTCATCCTGTCCACTATCTCCCATCGCTAATCCTTGCGAAGGGGTGGATAGGGCCGAATTAAAAAAAACTATTATGGATGATATTGGTCGTGTTAAACTGAGAAATAAGAGAGACTGCGTTTGTGTTTCGTCCTCCGGAGAAGTTGAACACCACGGGGGCTGGGTGGTTGTGAAACGACACAACTTTATTCATACCCGTCAACTCATTATCAGTGCCCTATCTTATTACAGACAACTTCAGCACCGTATTGGTCACCCCTCGCCACTTATAAATCTCAACGTTCATCCTGCAAAGTCCCATCGCAAGGGAGATACACAAATAAATAACATTTTTGCCCGTATTGAAACGGCTCTACGCTGTATGGACCTGAAAACTCAATTTCCCTGTACAAGAATACGGGGTAAACCATATGGGTTGGCAGGGTATGCCATTGCCTTCTATTAAATAATGATTTAAAAAAAACATTCCTCGCTACCCGAAGCTATTAGCAGAGTGCACAATTGCACGTGTAATGCATCACAGGCGAGCTGACACCGGCTCCAGACGGCAAAGTGGGTTAAACGAGACAAGGGGCCGTCCATAAATGACGTCACGCGATTTTGGACGATTTTTGACCCCCCCCCTCGTTACAAAAAGTCAGACCCCCCCCCCTCAAATATGACGTCACAAAGCTCTGCCTCCCCCCCCCAAATAAATAAAACATGCTTCAAATCGTTTTAAACTATTGTCATTGTAGTGCGTATTTAATGTGGCGCTGCACTCTGTTGTAGAAAACAATTATTAAAGTCTATTTTATGAAGTAGAACGTGTTGTCTATATTTATTTAAAGTTGCGAATTTTGATGTGACGTCACATTTCTCACCCCCCCCCCCCTCATCACACATCGTCACAAATGTCTGACCTCCCCTCCCCTAGGTGCGTGACGTCATGTATGGACGTCCCCCAACCAGGAATTTCCAACGATTGAAAGTCCCCTTGAGCCGAACCATCTTTTGAGAGCCCTTCTCTACTCCTATTGGGGCGATAATTGGGCACGGGAATTCAACGCATAGCAATCATCGCCCCCTAATGCAAAGCAAACCTGGCAGGATCATCCTGAAATAACGTAATGCGAGACTCCGTGGTGCTTGTTTTGGGTAACAAAGCGTAATAACATAATTCTATATTTTGTTTGTCATTTTATCCCCTTCACACATCTCTCGACCTGACCTATACTCGCAACCACCTTACATCACCTCACAGTTAACACAGGCGAGGGTTGGTACGAGGCAACTAAAGTTGGTCCACCTCGGTATCCGGCCTGCCTTCGTCTCACCAGGTACTCATTTAAGGTCAAGTCTATGTAGGGAAGGCCCAGGACTAGTTCAGAGATTCGTCACCGCCGTTAGGCCCAGAGCAGGAATTAAACTTAGGGGGTCAGGTTTGTAGCCTAGTACACCAGTCATTTCGCCACCACCAGGGGCGGAGCCACGGGGGGGGGGGGGGCTGGGGGGGGGCTTAGCCCCCCCTGAAATTTTGGGAAAGTCGGTAATCGGGATAACCGGATATCCGGCTGCTGCAAAATGCTGCAGGCTGCCACCTCGTGCTGCCCTGCTTGAGCAGCAGCCTTTCGAACTTATCAAACTTATTAGCCACATCAGCTTTCGTGACAGCAGTGATTCATATTCTTGGTTCTTTCGGTAAAGTCACGTTGAAGGGAAACAATAAAATAATGAAATATATTTTATTATATATATTGTTACCGAAAGAACCAAGAATACCAATAAAATGTGTTTAATACATTTGTGGCGCCCATTGGAAAACATAAACACTGGATATCTCAGAATATTGAAGTCAGCCCCCCCCCCCCCCCAAGTAAAAATCCTGGCTCCGCCCCTGGCCACCACTCACCCGTACGAGCCACAAACATGCACAAACGCACGCATTCAAGATCTCAATTTTATTTGAGTGGGCACTTTTTACATCACGAGCAAAGCATGTAGCAATCGTCGGGCCTTGCAACGAAATAACTTGCATTCGAATTATTCGCCGATCTGGTGAACTCGAAAATATTTTCCAAGGCGTTTGCGTGGGGACCGGCATTTGGGGAACCCTGGTGGGCATAGCCGGGAGCTGGGGTAGGAAACACGGCTGGGTCCACAACAACACAATGTGCAATTATATTCGCGTCCAAACGTGATCGCATCTCGAGACGCTGGACGGAATCGGTGAACATTTGATAAGAGTTGGTCATATTCAGTATTTAGCTGCGATATAGCTCTTTTTCAGAAGCGACCTCGCCACAAATGACAGCTCAATAAAGTGGCCTATCATGTGTAAATGTATCGCGAGCCAAATACTCTAAACCTGGTAACGTAAAAAATAGTTTAGTTTAGAAGAGAGAAGTTTTGAGTAGCCAATTCAACGCCTAAAGATGTCCCGCAGCGGCGCGTGGTGGCGAAAGCTCGAGAGAAAAAAAAATGCTTTTGAACCCAGACTTGACCAGGGACAGGGAAGCCTGTAGGTCTCTATGCAAGCCTCTCCGTAATTCTATGAGTCTCTGCGCTGGTCTATGGATCTCAATGCGAGTCTACGGATCTCTTTGCGACTTGATGAAATTCGATTTGGAATTTCATCGCGTTTAAAGATCGATCACACTCTCAAGACGCTGCAGAAAATCAGCTGACATATTTCTTTGACAGAGAAAGGGTGAGGCAGTCATTCACAAGGTAGATGTAGTGGTTGGTGGCCGAGCCTGGGAGACGTGGTCAGACGTCCGGCGTGAGCTGGCGAGTAGAGAGCGACACCTTCTCTCCGGGCTTGAAGGGCGGCATGCCCAGGTAGGGGCAGCCTGCACACCTGAAGGCATCGCCCAGGTAGCACTGCACACCCACGTGGGGGGGGGGGGGGGGAAATTATCGAGACAATTCCCCCCCTCGCAACTTGGTGTCGGGATGCATCTGTGTGTACGTGGGTGCGCGCACGTGGGTGTGTAACGTGAACGTACAAGACGGTGTGTACGTGTACGCTGTCGCAGTACAATGTGATCAGGATGTAACCTGGGTCAGAAACATGATATTCCCATGCGATGTTGTGTGTGTCTGCTGCTAGCGCGCGACAATGTGTGTGACGTGACTGCATTATGCTGTGTGACGTGACTGCGCAACACTGTATGTGTAACTTGACTGCACGATGCTGTGTGACCTGACTGCGCGAAACTGTGTATGTGTGACGTGACTGCACGATATTGTGTGTGTGTGTTACGTGGCTACGCAACGCAGTGTGCGAGACGTGACTGCGCGACATCGTGTGTGCGGAAGCGCCAGCAGTTGGTGCTCACGTACGCTGCCACAGGACGACTTGGGCAGCGCCGGCTTCTGTTTGGTCGCCTCCTGCTCCAACTCCTCAGCCAGGCCACACGAGCTGTAGGTTGCGGGGGACGGGGGGGGACACAGACAGTGGCGTCAGCGCTTGTGGTCACATTCTAGAATGACACGAAGACTTTGCGAGCACATCCACGGTGTGACATGCGCGGGCAGGCAAGATTGCGCGTGACAGCTGCGGCGAAGCTTATTCGGCTGTTGACAGCTTGCTCGCTAGTCTCAATGTTATCTCCCTCGCCTGGTGTGCAGGAGGTCGTGGGTTTCATCCCGACCCGGACTCCTGTATATTTGGAGTTTGCATGTTCTCCCCCAGGTCACGTGGATTTCTATCCGGGTCCTCGGGTTTTTCCCTCCACATTTAGGAACGTGCGCTTTAGAGTATATGGCTGCTATACATTTCCACTTGATAAGGCACTTCCGTTGAGCTATCATTTGTGGCCAGGTCGTTTCTGCAATAGAGCAATTAGCTCCGTGGGCTTTACCTGGTAAAATAACAAAAAAAACGTGCTCGGATTGATCAGTCGGCATTGGATTAACTAAATTCCACGGTACACCGGGGGCAATTGAATAGGCATCTTCAGCAAGCAATCATCACTGGCAACGGTTGCCGCAACATTTTTCCCCATCGTGAAAATATAGCCGCCCCGAGTGTGGACAAATCTGATCGCTGCTCCCCCTAGTGGGCGAATGGGATAGGAACTTCCACTCACATCGCAGCCGATTGCCACATTCGTTGCACACAACTCCATTGCTCTCTGCCATCGACATTCCCCAGTTGCGACAGTTGCCCAGAGCTGTTTGTCTTGCCGGTGAAGATTGTCAGGAACAATTCACACGGCAGTGGGTTGACAAAAAGGCTGCAGACACGTACTTCTGTCCATGAGACTGCAGATTATTAGCCATGTAATGTGCATCCCTTCACGCCTCCACCGTGCGTGCTTGCGTCACCAGTTCTTGCAGGCTCGCTTCTTGCCGGGCCCGCAGCTCGGCGCCTTGAGCTCCGAGGGATCGGGCCGCCTCAGGTCCTCCTCCTCCAGCAGCTGATCTGAGTCGATGAGCTCCTGTGGGCGCGACGCACGGGGACATGAGGATGCAGCGAGGTGCACGGGACACACACACGCGTGTGTAACAGCGAGTGGCCTGTGTGTGTGAGGAGCGGTGGCCCAGTGGTTAGCGCGCTGCGTTACGAACCTGGCGCCCCGAGTTCGAGTCCTGCTCACAGCCAACAACGGTGACGATTATCTTAACCGGTCCTGGGCCCCCCCCCCCCCCTAGGTCGACTCAGCCTCTAATGAGTACCTGGTGTGATGTATAACCATCAGCACTGGGGAGACTAAGACGTCCAGATGCGGTGCTGGCCACCCACCCCCTCGTGTGCCGTATCGGCCTTCATAGGTGCTCGCTAACAGTACTTGCCCCAAATGTCTTTTAAGGCTATAGGGGGGGATCTTTGTGTTTGTCTTGTGTGCGGGACACACAGAAGCGTGTATGTGTGTGAGAGCTATGCATGAGCACAGCACTTAATGTGATGCACTACACACCCGCCAAACTGAGTTCCATTCATGGCCAACGTAAGTGGTGGAAATCTGAACAGTGCGTTGGATGAGGCTTGTGAAGGAGGCTGGTGGTTATAACTTATTTCTGTGTTTGGTTTGTTGTCCTTCCCCCGCACCTCCGATTAGCATGGTTGGCTATGTACGGTGCGAAAGAAGTTCAACATAATCAGTTTCAAGGACAATGCATATATCATCAGTGTTTTTTGTTTGCATTTTGACCACAAGTATTGTGGTTAATGCACACATGATTCCTCGTAAAAAGGTTTCAGTTTTGTTGCCAGGAAAAAGGGGGAAAACCCTATTATTATATTTTGGTACTGGCAAAGGAGGTCTAATTATGTAACTTCAACATACTTGCATACATACAGGCGGTGCATCTGCCAATCATTTTAACCCACAAAACCTGGGTCTGTTCCTTGACCTCCTGCCAGCATGACTTCGACGCTTCACATGAAGCTCATAAAGCCAAATGGAAGTCACAAAGTAACAAAACACCTCCACGTGAAAGAATTGACGGGGAAGATCCCTGGCTTCGATATTCCATGAAGGTCATGGGGCCAACAAGCCTGTGCCGCATCCTCACACAAACCATGGCATCAGCAGATACTCGACGATGATGCACAAACAGGAAATACAAATCTCTACCGTCAGTGTGCGGAGACCATGGTCACCACCCAGAACAGAACCATAAAATACATAATGACTTAATGCCAAATTCACAACTATGAAGGAGGCTCCATCACAACAATGGACCACTTCCGCTACTCCTGAAGCAATCATCTGACTCATCAACCTCCTCAATGTCAAATTGTGGCCGTTGCTGTACATGAACATCAGCCATACGAGGAAGAAGATTAACGTAACTTATTGTTTTATTTTATTTTATGAGACCTCCTTTGCCAGAAACAAGATATAGGAATAGGTTTCACCCTTTTAACTGGCACAAAAACTGACACCTTTATTCAAGGCATCATGTTTACAATAACCACAACAAAAGCAGTCAAAATGCAAACAAAAAAAAGCTGTCTCGGGTGTGAACCAATCAAATTCAAGGACAGTGCATATTATTATCAGAGTTGTCTTTTTTGTTTGCATTTTGACTGCTTGTGTTGTGGTTATTGCAAACATGATGCCTTGAATAAAGGTGTCAGTTTTTGTGCCAGTTAAAAGGGTAAAACCTATTCCTATATTTATTGTTTTATGTTAATCTTCTTCATGCCGGTGTACAGGGGATCCTAGTCGCTATTTACACGTCAGTATCTGCCTTACAATGTCATCGTCGCCCATGTCGTTTGCAGAGAGAGCCCACACAGCTGCTGCCTTGGGGTCGACCTTGCTTGGCTTGTCTTCACAGCAGGCAACAGACCACACACACGGACATGTCACCAACATGGACACACACAAACATACAAAAACACATACTCACAAAATCACGTGACCCCGTTATTATGATTTTTTTCACTTGTTTACCCAGGAAAGCGTGCTGCCAGGTTTGTGCAGCGATGAATGCTATGTATAATCCCATTTGAGCAATGCGAGTAGAAACATGAAGGGATGCTTTACCGTGTGATGAAAGAAAAACGAGAGCTAACAGATGAGAAAGCTGCAAAGACATTCAGGTTTGGGACATGAAAGTGAGAAAAGATAAAGCCAAGAACCCCAAGAGATGCAGATTAGTGGTCACATACACGGACATTACGACTCCGCGTGATGTCATGAAGTTTCTACACGTGACACTACGACATCATGTGGCCCGCCAGCATGCCCTCGCTTTGTCACGTGGCTCGCTGTGGGGAAAATACGGCGGAGGAGGCCCCGGCCTGGGATGTGTAGGTCTCACCGATGGGCGCGGGGTTCGTGCCAGCGCGCGTGCCGGCGCCCAGCGTGAGCTGAGCACTCGAGCCGACCTCGAACTGCGGCTTGCGCGCCGTCACACGGCCCCGCAACAGCGACCCCGAGAGGTCAGGGGTCAGCAGCTCCATCGCCGCCTTCACGTCCTCGGCGGACAGCGGCTCGGAGGCGACCTGGGCAGGAGACGCACGCCCAGCGAGACGCGGACCCCGTGAGTGGACGTCTTAGATGGGGAATGGTCAGCTGAGACTCTGCGAGGAGTGAAAGCACTGACCTCCGACACGTCCACCAGTCCCGCGAGCTTCAGAGCAGAGGCCAGCCGAGTCGCGGTCCGCACGGCTGCCACGCCGTCTGTGGATGGAGGGGAAGGCCATGCAGGCCACACAGTGTGCAACGCTCAGCTTAGTTTACAACAATGTCAACTCCCCCGCTGGATGAAGGCCTCCTCCAGCTGTGTCGGTCACAGGAATTGTTTGACCATACTTCACCACACCTATCAGCATGGGTTGGTGAAAGGGGAGCTTTTTATCTATCTTATTTGATTCTCTTGATTGATGCATTTATGTAACTTACTGTTATGTCTAATTAATTATATTATTCATATTAGACTGCGAAGTGCTTTGTGGGATCTTGATCCTGAAAGGCTCTGTATAACTGTAATGTGGTTGTTGTTGTTGCTGGTGATGATGGCTTACCGGTGATGACGAGGATGGTGGTGGTGGTGGTGATGATAGCTGCAACGTTGTGGCGCTGAGGGTGGTGGTGGTGCATGGATGGTCGTGAAAGCGTGTGCGTTACCACGCGTCGAAATAATTTTTTGGTAACGATGCCTTAACAGTGAGGGTGGCGGTGGTGGTTGCGGTGGTGGTTGCGGTGCATGGGTGGTCGTGGCGGCGTGTGCGTTACCGCGCGTCGCTATCGGCTGCACCAGCTGCAGCGTCCCCCCAGGCTTGAGCACCCTGGCCAGCTCCGCCAGCGTCTCCTCCCCGTGCACCAGCACGGAACCCGGCAGCACCCCGGCCAGTGCCACGTCAAACCGCGACGCCTCATGTCCCGCTACGCAGGGACAAGAGGGGGACAACGAAGCTTCGCGAGACACCGCCAGCCCAGGGCTCGTCAGCAGCTCTGCTTTGCGAGCTCGCAACTGTCACAGAATTGCGGGTCAGAGGCGGTTGGTTTCGCGCCAGCCAGACGCTCGTGATCTGCAGTCAGATCATTGACTTCACCCGGCGAACAGCTCATTTCTCATAACAAAGAGTACATCTGCAGTTGCTTGTGTCTTTTTCCCCACATGTAGTACTACAATCACTTGCGGGTAACGTACATTTGTATTTAAAACGGCCAGCGCACGCATGTCTTTAAGACTTTCTACGAAGGGTTTATTATCGATACTGTGTGTGATGGGGTATCTGTTCGAGTGTATTTGTGAAAATGAGGGCCAATTGCCGTGACAGACAATCCCCAAGGGGGTAGGTAAGAGGAGGCCTAAGAGCAGATGGTGGGAGTACAGATCTATAGGTCTCGGTGCGAGTCTATGGATCTCTATGCGAGTCCAAGGCCAGGTAATGGGATACTGTCAGGGCAGATCTTTAAGGCTTCATATGAGCTGTGCAGTAGAGATCTGGCTGACGGTATAACACTTTTTCAAGGGTTAGTGGCATCATCACCTTTGGCCATGATAACACCTTGATATTGTACTATGTGTGTATGTGTGTGAGAGTGTATATACGTATGGGAAGTGGTAGTGTCGTGGATAATAGAGATTTTTTTTGGGTAAGATCGCGTAAATAGTACGGGTCGTCACGTAAACAGAACGTGCCAATTCGTCACGAGTACAGCACCACCGGTGTGTTGGAGAGCCAAGCCACAACATTTAGAATCTGAGTACGACGTTTCGCCAGTAATTACAACTAGCTTCATCAGGCGACAGCCAGATCTGTTGGTCGCGAAAGCCTACGTGTTAAACTGGTAGTGTAGTGGTTAGCACGCTGCGCTACGATCCCGGCGACTAGAGTTTGGTTTCCCGCTCACGGCATACACCGGTGACTATTAACCGAACCGGTCCTGGGTCTCCCCTAGGTAGACTCAGCCTCCAATGTTGTCTCCCAAGTGGCGATGGTTACACATACGCTTTTTCGTGAGCCGTTCCGGCCTTCATAGGTGCTGCTCGTCACCAACAAGCAGTCGCCACCTCCCCCCCAAAACCCCTCAACAGTTCGTTCAGGCGACACGGTGGTTGGGGGGGGGGGGGTGGAAATCCTTCTCCTGGTCTCCATATACTCAGCACAGGGCACCCCTGTCTGGCGTGCGTCGGCTTGCTCACACTGGGCCAGCATGTCCACGTTCTCCACCGCCACGGCCCCCCGAGGCCCCACCGCTGACCGCAGCTCCTCGGCGGCCTCCGCCACAGCCCCGGGTAGCACGGGCGCGGCCCACAAGAGCAGGGCCTGGTCGCCGGCGCGCACGGCCCACCGCTGCGACATGGCTGGGGCCTCTCCTCTGAGCGGGCAGGCCTCCTGAGTAGGGGATGGGCAGAGCGGTCAGCCGTAGGGTAAAGCGACGTTGGGAGTTCAGGGCCTACGGATTGGCCGTGTTAAGAGGTAGGGTGGTGGGCCTTAAAGGAGGGGCGGGGAACGTCCGGCCCATGGGCCGTATGAGGCCCGCGAAATAATTTGGTCTCTGGCCCTGCCAAGGCCACCGCGGGCGGGACTCGAAATTCAACAAATCTAGGAGCAAACCTGAAAAAGCAGTTGCGAGTAGCAACAGCATCATCGATACCAGCTAACATCATCAATACCAGCTAACATCAGCTAACATCATCGATACCAGCTAACATCAGCTAACATCATCGATACCATCTAACATCATCGATACCAGCTAACATCATCAATACCAGCTAACATCATCAATACCAGCTAATATCAATACCAGCTAACATCAGCTAACATCATCGATACCAGCTAACATCATCAATACCAGCTAACATCAGCTAACATCATCAATACCAGCTAACATCAATACCAGCTAACATCAGCTAACATCATCAATACCAGCTAACATCATCAATACCAGCTAACATCAGCTCACATCATCAATACCAGCTAACATCAATACCAGCTAACATCATCAATACCAGCTAACATCATCAATACCAGCTAACATCAGCTAACATCATCAATACCAGCTAGCATCATCAATACCAGCTAACATCATCAATACCAGCTAACATCAGCTAACATCATCAATACCAGCTAACATCAGCTAACATCATCGATACCAGCTAACATCATCAATACCAGCTAGCATCATCAATACCAGCTAACATCATCAATACCAGCTAACATCAGCTAACATCATCAATACCAGCTAACATCAGCTAACATCATCAATACCAGCTAACATCAGCTAACATCATCAATACCAGCTAACATCATCAATACCAGCTAACATCAGCTAACATCATCAATACCAGCTAGCATCATCAATACCAGCTAACATCAATACCAGCTAACATCAGCTAACATCATCAATACCAGCTAACATCATCAATACCAGCTAACATCAGCTAACATCATCGATACCAGCTAACATCATCGATACCAGCTAACATCATCAATACCAGCTAACATCATCAATACCAGCTAACATCAGCTAACATCATCGATACCAGCTAACATCATCGATACCAGCTAACATCATCAATACCAGCTAACATCATCAATACCAGCTAACATCAGCTAACATCATCGATACCAGCTAACATCATCACACGCCTCGCCAAAGAGAAGCAGTTCCAGCCCATCATCACATTAGGGGGCGAGTTCATTAAATGTCTGACCAAATATAAACAGGCTAATTTTTAAGTTGATCATTTTGTATGGCCCGCTGAATATTGTTTTATGGCCCTTGGCAGAAAAAAAGGTTCCCCACCCCTGGCCTAAAGCGTTGGTTGTTAGTGAGTAGTTGGGGAAGGGCTCCGATTGTGGCCGTCAATGTTTAGGGGTAGGCGTCAGCTAGGCTTAGGCAACGCGAGTTAACGCCGCATTGAGATTAAAAGACGAAGATCCTCCCTTGATCCGACTGTCGCGGCCAAGTGCTGTGAGCGGGCAGCACCTACGAAGGCCGAACCCGGGACACGCGAGGTGGCCAGCACCACGCCCGGCCGCCTTTGTCTCCCCGAGTGGCGACGTTTTATACACCACACCCGGGGTACTCGATTGAGGAGGTCGAGACGATCTCGAGGTGGACCAAGGACCACGTTTGAGATGATCGTAGACAAACGCGAGGAACAACTGTACATACCACGCAGAACGAAACGCCGCCCGGCTTCTTCGGGAATAAACTTCTACGCTTTCACATTGGAAGACTTCTTCCGGGATGAGAAGGCATCCGCCGGAATCGGAAGATGATTCGCGGACGGAATCTGCCGGAATAGGAAGAGGTCTGCCGGCTTGTGGCATGAATGGCGTTACGCTTCGAGGGCATATGACTTAGAGAGCATGGCTTGGGGTAATGGTTGTGGGGC